ATGATAAATGAACGCGTACATGCACTCGTCTGCCACCGATTGAAGGTCGTTTTATAGTCATTTCTCTCTGACGTAACTAATACTCTTTTCCTTTACTTCATTGTAAATTTTTAATCGAATAGAATGTATATATATGTGGCAAATACCCATCGATTACTCTATAATCATGAAAATTAACTTCATTAGACAAGAAATCTAATATAAATCGTATAAACATACAAGTCATTTTGTTCTTTCGCTATTAGTCAAATACATAGAGACAGTAAATTATGTGTAAAATATCAATTATTCACATCGATGAATAACTATCCAAACCTCTCTACATATTTCAATAGGCAATAAAATTATACTATTTACATGATTTATAATGAAGATCTTGTTATCAAAGAGTAAAAGAGAAAGAAAATAACTTGAATTATTCATGCTGTTGTCATTGGTATATAAAATAGTATTGAGAAGGTACGTTTTGTGAAAAAGGTAACAATATATAATAAAGCAATAAATTTAAATTTAATCGGAATCAATCGGCAAGGTATCGCAATAGTGCATTTAAGGAAAAATATGTATAAAGAAAGAAAGAAGAGCTCTTGGGAAAATAGGAAATCAAAAATGAAGCAATATGTACGCTTTGCAGTATAATATATATATCATACTCATATTGAAGCATATGTAGCCAATACAATAGAAAAAATATTTTCAAGATGAATATATATATTTAAAATACCTCATCAGAGGTGATCGGAACGATGGGTTGATCCACACTCGTCGATTTTATTTTCAATCTTACACTCATATTGATAAGCGTGTCAGAAAAGTCGACACGCTAAAATAAAATAAGAATGGAAATTTTTCATACACATATTTATAAATTAGTTTCAAGCAAACCCAATTATATTAGTAAATTTTTTTGTAAAATAGAATAAAGAATTAATCCCACAAGAAAATGCGAGGACCTACAATTTTTGGATGTTTTCTTTTTGAAAGAGTACCATTTATTGGTTGACACATATTAACGTGCCATCGAAAAGCCTGTACATATTGTAATTATATATTTAAATTAAAACTATTTTCTTCTTATTCCAATAAGTAAAAAAAAAAAGAAATTATGTTTAAACTTACATCAATACGTAGTTTTGTATCACCAGAACCGTTTGTTGTTGTTGTTGATGATTGTGTACCATTTTCCAAATTTTTAAACATAGCTACGCGTTCTTTTGCTACACCACGCTCACGAAGTTCACTATCAATATCTACTGTTCGTTTAACCTATAAATCGAGTAATCGTAAGAAACTGTTTTTATTTTATTCCACAAAAGAAATATGATTAAAAAGGAATTCTTTTTTTGTTCTAAATAAAAACAAATCTCAAGAGGAAAAAAACGTTATTTCAACTTGTTCTATATAATCTCTTCACTGGTAGTCAATTAAACAGAATTATATAACAATAAATGTAAAGAAATTTCATGTTAGATGAACCTACTGTCGTTTCATCAAGTTTTTCAAATGCTGTTGTTCGATTCTTAGTCATACCACTTTGAATATCATCCATTGGAACTGATATTTTTGATGTTGCCTTACTTGCATCAGCTATATATTGTTCTTTAATTGCAGTTGCTAATCCAGCTGTTACATCAATCGATTTTTCTGTAGATTTAAATTCACTATTAGCTAATGATGCCAATTGATCACGTCGAGTTGTTGCTAAACCTTGTTCTGCATCAATATCAATAAATCGATCAGATGAACGTTGTATTTGTTGTTCAGCATCAATTTTTGATAATAATTCTGAACGTTTGGCTTGAGCAAGGCCTGCTCCAACAATATTTGCTATTTCATCAGGACATATTGATATTCTTGGACGATCTGATAATTGTCCACTTTCAAATTTAGCTTTTTTCGCTGTTGCTACACCAACTAATGCATCACGTTCCGTAATAATAGTTTTATTCATCGTATTTGTTTCATTCTCCATTTGTTGTTGTTGAAATGCTTGTTTTTTCGATGATGTTAAACCAGCAACAAGATCCGTTTCTATTTGTATTTTATTAACATGTGGTTCAGTTTCTTGTTCAAATTCTCCTTGTTCAAATGCTTGTTTTTTTTGATGATGTTAAACCACTTTGTACACGAACATCTAAACGTTTTTCTACACGTGGTTTATTGCTATCAATTAAACCTTTTTCAAATTTATCTTTCACTTCCGCCATTTCATGATAAGGAATCTAAAACATATTTATAAATACAACAGTAAATAGAAAAATATAATTTTCTACATGTTCTTTTGCTGGTTTCTTTATTCTTTTTGATCGAATAATTCCATCTAATTGTGAATTTGTATCATTATTATTATCATCATCATCATTATCTTCATCTTCAAGTTGTCCATTTGATAAACCTATGTCTTGAAATCTAGTAAAAAGAAAATTATCATGATTTTATTTATAAGAACAAATAAACAACATCTGTTCAATAAATAGAAAATATAGACTTACTTTTGAAATGTATTTTTAATTTTTTCACTTGGTGTAAATCTTTCAACTTTTTGTAATTGTTGATGTTCATCTACTCTTCCACTGAACATTTGTGTTATATTTCGTAAACGTTCTAATGTATCATTAGGTACATCAGTAGAATCGATTGCTATTAATAGAAGAAAAAAAAAAATGAATTCACTCGTGATTATATTTTTTTTTATTAATTGAAAAAATATAAATGATTTAATAGAATAATTACGTACATGAATCTTCGTTTAGATCTGACATTCTCAATAGACAGAGATTTTCTATTAAGAATAAAATGTTGCTTCTTTCACAAGGAATATCACCAGTGAGAACTATACACGTATACGTATTATCCGAGATATTTTTGTAATGTTCCTGTTCGCTCTTTTCTTTTCCCGTCTACAACCTACGCAGAATGTACAGACAAATAAAGAGAGAAAAATTGCCCGCTGTGCCGCATGCACATATAAACAATGAGTACACCCAGCAATCATTGGATATACAAGAAGAGAAGAAGGCAAGAAACGTAATATACCATAGTCATTATTCATTCGCTCTTTTCTAGTGAGAAAATTAGATAGTAGAGGAAAAGCGGTCAACATGCTACACATAGATATTAACCAGGAATTGTTTTGCCTATCGATGTATTTATAAGAATACATAACAAAAATCTGTTTTATATTTTATTACTCTTGAATAATTCTTAATAGTTAAATAATGTACATTGAATAATTTTATTCAATTGAAGTTTAGATAACGAACGAAGTTATATTGTAAATAAATAAACATCTATAAACGACCTTTTCTACGATCAGTCAACTGTTATTTTGACCGAACTAATCTTTATTATCAACAAATGTTTTTTTTTCTCTTATTATTATTGAATGATTCATCGAACTAAAAAAATATCTCTATTGATTAATATGTCATCTACCAAAATTAGTTATTCGATATTTTACCTTACTGATAATATCAAAAATAATAAAATTAGTGATTATCATCATTATTCATAGATGATAAGTCATTTATCAAAATCCATGATATAATCTTATTCAATGAATTTCTTTTACCTTATAATCATAGAACTATTCTATATAAAAATATGTACCAACTATAACTCAAAAATATTTATATAATATACCTCCATTATTATATCGTCGGCTATTATTCCGGAAGACTAATATTGTATGGACAATATACAGATGAATAAATGTATCACAAAACCACTCGTGTATAAGAGTCCAAAAAAGACGCCAGACATTGTTCGAACTACTGACCATTGTTATGTTAAATGACAGACAACAATAAAAAAAAAGAAATGATTGTCAATTCTATAATGATCTAAACGATTATACGATCAGTGAACTTTTTCTTTCGTTAATCTCTTTCTCGATTGGATTAATAATGATTGCGTGTTATTACAAAATCATATCATTTTTTTTTAATGAATCAATGATTTGTCAATACAAATATATACATCATAATCGTCTATTTGAGAAAAACTCCACCCTTTGACATTTTTCTTTTTAAATATAAATAAACGATTTATCATTAAAATACATAACAACTTAATAGATATTGTTCAAAAGATTTTTTTGCTTATGAATATCCATTTGAAAGTATTCAAAATAGAAGAAGAAGGAACTCTGTTACTCTATAGATATACTAAGATAAGATAAATGTGCCATTGAGAGTGTATTTAAAGGCATTGTATCTTTTAGATCTTAATGATTTGTATTTTAGCTTTATGACATAGTAAACATCGAATACACAACTGAAGAAAAGATGGTAAAAAGATACTTTATCTTTTCTTCAGATATATACATACAGACATATTATTATTACATGTTGTTGTAAATGAATAAACTTAGTTTTATACGATATAAAGTGTCACATATAATGTATTACCACTTCTTCCAATGAATAGAAAAAGAAATTAATTAATTATAATAGTATATAGATCATATTTTATTTGAAAAACGTAGCTTCTAGAGAACGAACAATAAATCATTCGTTATTAAAAAACTGTTTCATTTTGTTAATTTACAAGAATAAGAGACACATATTGAAAGTTTAGATTATAGTCTTTACTATATACAAAAAACATGTGAAACTTAGGTAACAGCTGCCTTCCATCACGTTAAGTATCTCTTGATGTCTCAACGTCGTCGAAGGATAAAGTACTCAATTATCAACGATGATCCATAAACGGTCAACTGATACTAAGTCCTGATTTTATATACTATTTATTGATATACATTATTTTCAATATAGTAACAACTATACAAATAATAAAAATGCATATTTTATTTGTAAACGACATAGTGTTTTTTCTATTATCAAATTACTTTTATGTCGTGTACATCAATTCGTCTGATGAAAGTAGTAAACAACCGACAAGAATAATTATTCTGTTTTGTCTCTCATTACGAGACTTAGGATAAACTACGCGTCCGATGTCACTTTGTCGCATTCTTGTATAAGTTACTTTGACATACATATATTTTATCTATATAGTTGGATGCCAATGAGGACATTTCTTATTCATTACACTAGTAAATCTGTAAATGGAATCTAATTTTTTTGAATTCTTATTTTTCGATATAAAAAATGGCTGTATTTTTATAGTTGATTATATATTTTTTAAAAACAAAACAATCAATAATAATAAATTATTTATTTTTTTGTGCGTAAATCCATCTTGTATATGGTTCTTCAAATAGCAATGCTATTTGATAAACGATATAAACTTCTGTTGTTAGTAACAAACCGACTGGTGAAGAATAATATAATGCTAAAGCAAAAAATGATAATGTTGATCCAACGTACATTGGATTGTTTAATACATTAAATGGAAATGTTGTTACTGGTGCATCCATTAAAATACCACAATAATCACCTAGAAATGTTCCAGTAATACCTAGTTTATAAAAAGATGATAAAACAAATATTTGTCCAAGTATAAATATTGCAATTGAAATTAATTTTAATAACATCGAATATTCTTCTGATATAATTAATTGCGGTTGATTTTGTATCGTTTTTCGAATTAAATAATCTCGATATGATGAAAATGAAAATATCCATATCATTAATAAATAACATACTATATAACGTATATTTTTTGGAGTATTTCTAGGTAGTAACATATGAAATAAACGTGCTACTATATTCCATATAAGAGGACATAGTATAATGATACAGCATGTATAATATAAATGAGAATCATTCAAATTAATGATTGTAGAAGACATTTCTTATGTAAAAGTGTTAGATAACGTAGTAGATAAAAAAAAATGCTCTATATTATATCTCAAAGATCACATAAAAAGACAAAGTTTTGTAAGGGTATAATATGGACCAAATATATTGGTGCATATTCAGAAGTATACGCCAACCAAATAGATCGCTACTGGAACATTATAAACATTGAGAATCAATTTTAATAAGTCTTTATGAAATATTTTCGATTATTATTTCTTTGTTTCTTTGTATTGATTCATGTATCGACTTAAATATATCTGAAATAAAGGAATAAACTAATTTATTATCGAATTATATCAGTAGCGAAAAAAAAGGAAATATTGTAAACAAAAACTCACAATAGATTTTGATTTTATTTAGTAATGATGTATAACATTTTATCTCAATGAAATCATTGATAAACAGTAGGAAAACATTTGAAAATCATGTTTAGATTGTATCGATTTAATTCGTGTGAAGTACGACGATAAGATAATATTGATTTTAGAAAATATATCTCACGAATTCAGATGGGAAGCATGAATGATCAGATATTAACTTTTTCGTAATGTGTTTTTTTTACACATTATATTTCTTCTTTGAGTTCATGACCGTATGATATCTTTCGCGTTTCTAATAAAAAATCGTCGATAGTATTTTATCATAACATATTTATTTTTCAATATAAAATTATTTCACAATTTTTAGCGTCAAAATTTCCACTAAATTTTCGGTTATTTGATAAATAGAATATGTAATCTTATATTATCATCGAAAAATGACTACAAACATGCTTCGATGATAAGATCGTTTTTTTTATTCGTGCTCATCGAACAGTATCCGACAAATAAAAATATGATTTATTTTATTAATCACGCCGAAAATACGTGATAAACAAAACCACATTGTATATTTTCTTTCTATTCCTATAAAACATATGTCTGCTAATATAAATTAAACCACATTGTATTGATGCAATGTTGAATTGAATATATATATATATATATATATATGAAACTAATTTGACAAAATATATGCGAGAAATTCATGTTTAGAATTAGTTGATTGTTTAGATTAAAAATAATTTTAAATTTTAGTTAACAATTCTACTTTGACCATGATATTTGTTTAGAAAAGAAAGTTATTGTTATTGTCCTCGAAATTCTTCTAGAGAATTCACCAATTTTTTTTGTTATATTCATATATATTTTGTTTTACATTTGTCACGGTATGTTGAATCGAAATGTCTGTTCGTTTCTCCTTGTCATCATACAGAAACACATCCTATACATACATATAACGGGTTGTATATATTCATTAATTACATCAGTTTGTTGAGACGAACAAACAGAGAGATATCATTCATCATTGAAGAAAACTATCTTTTTTTTTTGATATTTTTTTGCATATACATCACACACTAAACGGCCGTTTCGGGTGTATACATTATACCTTAACATTGATCGATTACTCGTTCTTCTTCTTTTTTTTTTATTATTGTAATCTGTATTTTGCCCTTTGCGTTTTACTCTTTTCTTTTCTCTGTTTCTATTTCTCTGTCTCTCTCTCTCATCATTTTCGTCCACCTACGTCCTAGCTGACAAGGTATCGTATATAACTCATTACAAAACGCAGAATACACTGTTTTGTCTTGTGAATAATTTTCTTTTGTATACAGTTTACTCAATATGGCAGCCGTACTCAATCCTTTTACATCATTTATGGGTTTCCCACCACCACCACCACCACCACCATTTTATTCAAATTTCGGATTTAATTTTCCATCGCCACCCATTCCAAATAACTTCTATTTATCACAACACAGACCGATGTTTCCACCAATAACAGCACAGCAAATGTCTGCTTATGCTCAACAAGCATCTGCACAAGCACAAGCGCATGCACAAGTACAGGCGCAAGCACAAGCACAAGCACAAGCACAAGCACAAGCACAAGCACAAGCACAACTGCAAGCACAAGCACAAGCTCAGGCTCAAGCTCAAGCACAAGCACAGCAAGCATCTGCACAAGCACACCAAGCAGCTGCACAAGCACACCAAGCAGCCGCACAAGCGCAACATGCGTCACAATTTCCTCAACAAGCATCTGCACAACCACATCAAGCACAATCGTATCATCAACAAGCGGCTGCACAAGCACAACAAGCACCACATTTTCCTCAACAAGCACCAGAACGGGCAAGACAATCATCACAATATCCTCAACAAGCACCTGCACAACCACAACAAGCACCTACACAGACACAAACACGGCAAACACCATATCATCATCAACGAGTATCTTCACAACCAAGACAAGCACCGTCATATCCCCATCAACCGCAACAACAACAACCACCACCGCCACCACCACCACCATATCCTCAACAAGCACCATCATATCCTCAACCATCATCAGCATATACTCAACAACTACCAGCACATTTACAACACACATCATCATATCGTCAACAAGTCCCAATGCAACCACGACAAATACCTTCATTTTCTGACCAAGCTTCAGTACAAACACGACAAATGCCATCATTTTCTCAACAGCCTTCAGCACACCCACGGCAAATGCCATCATTTACTCATGAGGCTTCAGCACACCCACGACAAATATCATCATTTACCCATGATACTTCAGCACACCCACGGCAAATATCATCATTTACCCATGATACTTCAGCACATCCACGACCAATGCCAGCATATTCCCAAAAAGCAGCCATGAAACCAACACACGCGCCAGTATATTCTCAGAAACATGCTGCTCAATCACGACAAATGCCAACACTTTCCCAAAAAGCACCTATAAGACGACAACAAACACCCATACAACTACCATCACAACAATACTCACAACGAACAACACCAACTGAATATGTCGATTCAGGACCAAATCCATTACGTCGTCGTGAACCTCGTATTTTTCGTGAAGTAATTGTATTACCAACACCTGAACCAGTCTATCGACAAATACGTCGTCGTCTACCAACTCCAGAGCGAGATGTTGTTGAACGAACAATTATTAAAAAAGCAAATGGTAATGTTGTTGTTAAACAACGACAACCATCAAAAACAAGTAGTCAGAGCCAAGGTAGTACACCATCTCGATCTATCCGCTCACGATATGTTTACACTGATTAAGAACGAATATTTCGTTGAAATCTTCGTTCATTATTTATTTATTTATTTATTTTTGTTTCATTAATTACAGACATTAAATCAATTGTAGTCTTTTTTTTTGTTGTTTATTTTAATTCTGAAATAGCTAAAAATCATTAGAAAATAAATATGCTTCTAAGTTACCTATTGAATTTTTCAAACTAATTTGCTATTATTATTATAAATCATGCACATATATAATCAAGAATACAATGAAATATATCAGTAACTATTGCTATTCACATCACACATGAAAGAAGCAAAAATTATTTCACTAGATAGTTATTGACTAACAAAAATATTTTAATTTTGATTGTATTGACAATGTATATAATTTGATGTAGAAATAACACATGAACGATTTATCGATGACCGTATTCATTAACCATGAGTACTAATTGTTTGCGTAATAGTATATAAAGTTGAAAAGATAAAATCTATTCCATTTCTGTCTATTATTACAATAGCGTAGACATTATATCGACCTCTTGATAAATTGTTGTTTTCATATAGATCCTTGTGGTGTAGGTAGAAAAAAAAAAGACTCAAGGTATAACAAATGATAAACAAACTGATTCTAGGTGAGAAATTTATGTCAAAAAAAACGACTGAAACATAAATCAATCTTAATCATTTTTGTACTTATTTTCGTTTATGATCATGATAAAAAAAAATGGCTTTTGTTTTCAACACGTGCATCATTTAATACTAGATTGAAATTATAGTTTTTTGTTGCAAATTTAATGAAACATTATAAATCAGCATGTTTATTATTTTACTTTTAATGAGAACAAATCTGTACAGATATAAAAAGTAGCATTTGAAATATTGACAGCTGATATTATTTCATTTGACAGTTTGTTAATTAAGAACATATAATAAAAAAAACAAACCGCATACTAAATCATCGAAATTTATTTCGTAAACACACGATATATTTCTTAACATGTTTTTTTTCATTCTTTTTAGATCAATATCGTTTGATATTACCTTACCGCACATTCTTTGTGGTTAATTTTTCTTTTTATGAATTTTCTTCTAATATAATGTAACTATCATTATTATTCGATCGTTCATTTGAACTTATAAAACTTATTCTACTTCGACTTTATTTTAACTAGTACTGCCAAGGATGACAAGACCATATTTGATATTTTACATCCTAATGAGAAACGATTCAGTGACGCATACATTTATTCCAATCTAATTTTTAATAGCGTCTCTTGTAAAAACAAATCAATCGTGTACTATGACTTTGAATGAAAAGACGCAGGTAAATTTTCTCCCATCGTCTATTTGAATGAAACAATATCACATATAACCTTTTATACAGTAACATATAATACAATAGAAGAAGAAAAAAGAATGACATACATATTTCTTATTTCTCCTAATGCACGTTTGCATCGAATATTAATCAATCATTTATTTGTTTTTATGGATAAAATTATTTGTTGCTTAGAATTTGTATTTTTTTTTGTTTGGTTAGTTAAATATATTAGGTTATTTGCTGCAGAACTATATACCATGTCTATAGCATCCAAATAAACAAATTATTGCGTAATGATGTATGTTTGAGAACCGAACTAGATATGAATTTTTTGTCGATTCTTGCTGGAAAATAGTATTCATATTCAAAAATAGTTATTAAAGATTTTATTCTATTATTTTTATTATATAGTTGATATATTAATATAGATTCTAACATTTTTATACAAAAATTTTTATTCAGACAAATAAACTCATTTGCACTCGCTTTTTAATAGTATTCGTTGATGAAACAATAGTGAAACCATAAGTATAAGCAGAAGATGAATAGTCACAATCATTATTACTGATTAATAAAGTACTAGCTGTGGCTGTTGTTATTCATATTTTTATAGTACGATTCAAACTGAAACTAGCATATAAATGTTTATTTCTATCGATAAAAAATAGCTTAAATGCTACCCATACCGATTGAATCTGGAACTCGAATACCTATCAATACAACTGATGACCATATTCTAAAACTATTATTGTCAGCAATATAGAGATTTCAATTTAAATCACCATGGACTGCTATTGAATAATTGAGTAGGCTACCATTTTTTCCTGCAACTCCTAGCTATCACAACTACCACAGTAGTTTATGATTATCAGAATCAGTAACATACATATTATACGGATATATTAGTTGATTCGATGCATCATCCTACGTCTCATTTCTCGCCAAAATCTCACTAATTTGATTCTATTGAAATAATCTACCTGAATATCAACAAATATAAAAAATCAATTTTTTTGAATAAAAGTATAATTCTAATGAAAGAGGTGTATGTTTACATGCTGGATCTGTTGTCACAGAATTATACAATGATCTTAGAGGGCAAATAATTTATGAAATTATTATCATATTCTAATGAGTAACTTATTCGATAAGAACACACACGATGCAATACTCAAACGAACAAGTGATCCGTGTAAATGAATCTTTCATACTACAGATAAGTAACATATTTTTATTGATTTTGTCTTCTAATGTTCCCTTTGGTAAATGCGTTCATTGACTAATAGATTGTTCTTGATAATTTACTATACGCGTTAGTAAACGGCTAAAATAAAGATCAATCGATATAAGATATAATGAACCTAATTGCAAATTTATTGCGATTTAACTCGTTTGAGCTGTATATTGATGATACAATATACTTTTAAATTGCATTAATACAGAAACTGACAGGTATATTGTTATCTAATATTCGAATATTTTTTTAAATAAAAATTTCTTCAGGATTAAACTGTTGCTAACTTGAACTTAAATCAAGAAAACTTCTCGATATAAATCTGTTCAAATTATTTAATCTTCCCATATTTCTTTCGCACTACAAAGAATATTAACTAATTTCTTGGCTTATTGAGTATGATTAGTTGTCGTAAATACATACATCAGATTAAATCATACTAATTTAATTTTGAATGAATAGACTTAATCTTCATTGACATGCAAAGAAAAACGAACGAAAAATACGAAAATCCTCAGATGTCACTCCTTTACATTTGTTCGTATTGATTCATAGTGATTGGTAAATTTATGACGTGTAAAATAAGAAAATGATGACCGATAATGATAATATTTTTCGTTTCTTGTACAACGAAAAAAAAAAGACAGAAACTGTTACCTTTATTTATTTCTTTTTATATGATAGAAGTTGATATTTATCATTTATTATTATTATTGTTATTATTTCATCATTCAAAGTCTTTACACTTTCGATCGTGTATCAGGTATTTTTTTATTCATTAAAACGAAGAATAAATTCATTTGAATTTTCATTCGTATAGTCTTTTGAGATATTTTTAAGTTAGTCATTGATTTTTGAGAGTATCATACATGATTCTATCTTTTATCTGTAAAAATAATCAAATCATTTCTCGTCAAATTAATACCCAACTAATTTTGAATGTTGTAGAATTCTTCTCATATCAAAACAAAACTTAAAAGATTCGATAACATAAATACTTGTCATCTGATTTAATTCAATCAGACTGTTTTTGTTATCTGTAATATGGTGCATGTCCTATCGAAAACTTATAAAGAGACAACAAACTAATTTTCGTATACTTTTTAAATATGATAGGTGTGAAACAATTCTTTCCTAATGAGTTTCAATTCACGTACGTTGAAAAGTTTGAATATATAGGCAAAGTATATTTATTACCTTAAGTCAAATAAGCACTCTGTTTAAAATTATTACTTTCTTATTGATTACTATATCCGGTAAATATTATAGTAGTTTTTTCTTTATTCATGAAGATTAGAATGTTAGAAAGCAACATGTTTAGTAAGTTTAATTGAAAATCTAAACCTTCATTTCTCATTTGCCTATTGGTTGAAATCTTCAAACGTTTAACTTTTATGTTCTTATCTTAACTTTGAATGACGCCAAAGATAGTTTTTTTTACTTATTTACAACATTTTATTTCTTTATTTTTTTTTCTTACATATAAACATAACAGTTTACAAGAATTCTAATGTATATATCTATTAATTACTCTTTTCTTTTTTAGATTAATTTATTTAGTTTCTTTTTTTTCAATTAAAATAAAATGAAGTGGCCTATATGCGGACCAAAATTATCTTTATGTTGTTCAATTATTTCAGTATGGGGTATAGTACAATTTATATTAATGGGTATATTTTTCTTTGTTGAAGCAGCACCATTATTAGATGATTTTGAATTTGATGCTAAGAATGCAACAGACATAAACGAATTTGAAAGTGGACTTAAAACAGCTTTTCATCAACGTGCTTATAATTGTTGGATTGCAGCATTTCTTTATGTTGCTCTATTAGTATTTTCTGGTATGCAATTTATGACAAATCTAAAAAAATCATCATCACCAACACATGTTCCAACATCGATGACATCACCATTCGCTGGTGTAACAACAGAAGAAAATGGTTTTAATCAACATTATGGAATAAATTTTCCAACCGGTGGTGGTGGTCAAAGTGAAACATAAAATTTTAATATACACAGTGACATTTCTTTATAATACTTATTTTTTTTTATTTATACGCCGTGGTGCTGGTAGAAATGATATTCTTGTATTTGCATAACTTTCAAAAAAAAATATATATATAAAGCATTTAATTGGAAGAATAAAAATATTATTTGATACGACATAATAGAAGCATATGAAGATAGATTCGAATCATACTTATAGCACTTTCAATGATAATTAAGATGTAAATGAATTTTTCTTCCAACGAAAATCTATTGAGTTTCAGTCGGTAAAAATATTGGATACGAATTAAATAATCAGTTTTTATTCAAAATGATCAGTTGTTCTTCTTATAACGTGGTCAGTAGTTTTCATTAGTAAATAAATCCTTTCTAAGCAGTAAATAATATCGAATGTCAGTAATCACGATCAGGGTACGAATGTGCCTGTGGATGTGAGTGTCCAGCTCTTATCCACCCACACCCTCACACTGATCATTTTGAATAAGAAACTGACTATTTAATTTGTACCCAAAAATATTCATCATTTTTTTAACATTGTAAAAGTCAAATTAACCTCTCAATTATTTATATTAACCTTATCATCATTACAGTAGGTCTTATTTATAAATTAGACAAAGATTTTATTCAACTGAGTCGTTATGCTTAATTTCTTATTTTCAGAAATATGTAAATTGTACATCATAAACAGCCAAGACCACCCACACTCACCCACCCCTCTCATCATATGAAGATAAACTTTAACATTAGTATTGACTCTTTATAGAATATCTAGTAATTATCAATTATATAAAATAAATGAACTCATCATATTCTTTTTTTAGTTTTATTGAATAACATTACAATGTAATGCATAATTAAAAAGAAGAAATAAATCAACAAAAAGCATGAATACTGACTTAATTACATTCTTTATAAAACAATCCATCTGTGCACTATACCTTTTTGGTTAGATTATATTTAGTTTCATTGTTTCTTCTTTCTTAAAATGAAATAATTAATGGATATTACTTGTTTACCAACGAGTGTAAACATGATTCTAGGCATAAGTCTTAGAAATGATCTTGAAAACTATTGCACATAAATAGCATGCAAACTTAATTACATTTATTAATAGTTTCTACTTTCGTTTTAATGCATAAAGTAATGTAGCACATGATCTATTTTTAATTATATCATGATACTTCTTCTACGCATGTGTACTTTAAAATTTGAGTGGTACTCTATTTTAATGGTCTATGCTTAATGAATTAAAATTAAGGAGAAGAAACTATAAAAATATGCACTCTTTTATATATTTCTCCTATTTTGTAAAAGGAACTCAAGTACGTTGAATGCATATATTATATCTTCTATAATTAAAATTGATTATTGAGATAAAGTTTTTTGAGATCAATATTGAATTTATTTTTTTTGTTTCTCTTAAACACAAAAATGTCTGATAGTAAGTAAAAGGTTCTAATTGATTAAAATGACAATATTTTGAGTATTTAAAGTGTCAGTTCCTGTTGATTGTTTAAATTCGATTGTTAATTCAACGAATTTAACATTTGTTCGACGAACAACATTGAATGAATGTCTATTTTCTAAATCAGCTGGTTTTATTCTTCTTCTTGTTGTAATAATATCATTAATAATTAATATTTATTCTTTAAGTATCACTGAAAAAGATTCACAAATATCAACTAATGATAAAGAACTTACTTTTGGTATGTTCATATCTTCTTTATGTATTATTATTATAAGTACACCATCAGTTCTTATACAATGTTTTCTTTGTCGTCGTTTATGTTTACCAATAATTTGTCGAATAGAAGGTTTTAATTCATTTTTTAATGGTTGTACAACTATGTATATGCTTGTTGCATTATCAATTATACGTTATATAACAACAGCTAATTCATCATTTTCAATAAATTTTCAACGAAAAATAAAAAAATATAATTTATCACTTCTTACTATTTGTTTTATTCTAGGAAGTATTTGGGCTGTACCACCTTTATTTAGTCATATGAGTTCTTATGTCCCTGAAGGTCTTGGTTTTCATTGTGGTCTTGATTGGTATGATACATCATTAGCAAGTCGAATTTATTTTTTTCTACTTTTTATTGGTGTTTATTTTATTCCAATGATAATTATTATCTATATTAATATAAGTATTCAACGTACGATTTATCGTTTAACGCATTTACATCCGACAGTTTTACTTGAAATGAATAATATTGATACTGAAGATCTTTTATGTAAACATATTTCAAATACATTTTCTGATGATATAAAACAACGTTTACAACATTTATATGATGATCAACGATTTGTTATAGCTACAAGAATAAGTGTTATTATTTATTTAGTTGCATGGACACCGTATAGTATTATAGCTTTATCACAAGTATTTGGCGTTAGTTTTTCATTATATAAACCATGGGTTATGACATTATGTGCACTTTTAGCTAAACTTTCAATGATTATAAATCCGATTATATATACATTTATACTTAAAAATCGAGAAATGCCTGCAATGATTACCATTGAAGAACAATTATTCTGAAAAAAATTGTTTACTTCTGATATGTATCTTTAATGATTTAATTTATATTTCAATTGTAAAAATAGTTTTTGTGAATTATAATATAAGAAATATTCGATTATTGTTGAATGTAAAATTTATTCAGTGTAATATTAAACGAATAAATAAAGATTTTTAGTTTTTATTTTATATGTGTAGTTTACATCTTAATCAATCTTCAGACAAGTAGTATATCGAGCAAGCAGAGAGAGAGAGAGAAAATTTGATAGGATTTATTTTTATAGGACTATGAAACGACACTTAATTAACCGCGAGTCTTCAAATTTTATTTAAAAAAAATGGGCTTTTAATCGCAATAAACACATAAGAAAATACTCTATTTTGGTGTTATCAGTTTACTATCATTTATTTATTATCTACCAGAAGAAGCAAACAGCTCCTTGATTTGCTTTATAAATAATTCAAAACCTTTATTGAAACATTTCTACTATTAAATAACAAGTAACGCTCGTCCGAGGACTCGCTTAGCTCTTTCTCGTAGATACACATCTTCTTCACATTTCCTGGAAAAACAATTAAAAACCGGTTTTCGATGTTTTTTTTGACTTTTGTCCCCCCCCCCCTCATCGTGATTACTCAATAGCCCTCAGATTCGAAGTCTTCGCATCGAAATACCTCCAGAAATGTCTTTTCCGGAAAATTGATCTTCGATGTTTTTTTGACCCTACGGACACACAAGCAAGCAGACAGTTTATGTTTGCAAGACTCTTCTCTACGAGAAAGAGAATAAATAAAAAATTTATTTTTATTAAAATAATACAGGTTATCATATATAATACATAAAGGATTACTCTACTCGTAATGCCAAACATATACTACATCGAATATCGTTTTCTTGATTTTGTGTTGAACAAGTTGAACAATTCCAAGGACCCTAATATATATTAAATTCAATATAAAAGAATTGTTTTCTGTTTGAACAAAAATAAATAATCTTACATTATTCTTAAATATTTTTGGATGTGTGAGTAAAAATAAAACAAATAATGAATTTGGTCCAACTGTTAATTCTGTCATTGTTGAATTATCATTAACTAATTGACCATTAACAAAAAAATATTGATTTGTTGGACAATAATTATATGCAAGTTCGAACTAGAATATGAAAATATGATAAATTCAAAGATTTATTCTATATACCGCTGCACGTAGTTCTCGAACTGTAGTTGATGGGAAAACTTTCACAGGAATTGTTCCACCATTTTGATCAACACCATATTCATTACCATCGAATTGGACAAGAATTCTAGAATAAATAATAATCAATAGATGAAAAAAATTTTATTTAATTGTTGCTTACTGAAATTCTTCTTCATTTTGTAATGGTTTTAATAATTTATCTTGAATGCGAATACCTTGTGAAGTAAGCTGAGTAGTTAATTGAGCTGCTTCATCTTGATTACCTTGTTTTATAGATCTACTCAAGTTATGAATATCAACGAGTGTATCTAATTAATGAGAAAAAAAATTAAACTTTTTCAGATAGTACAAACTAGATGAATAATCATTTATCTAAGCTTTTTTTTAACACATGATCAATTTACTAAATACTTGACACATTATGTGATATTTTCGAATAAACGGGATGATGTGCACTACATTTAATCCTGTGGAAAATAAAGATAATTAGCATATGCTTTTAATTCCATGATTAGATTAAGATCTCGTCAACACTTTGATTTAGTTCAATATTCATGAGAATATTTTAGGGTACATTTTCTTCTCTCTGTTCAAACTCATTTAGTAATATTAGAGAAATTTACCTCTTGCATCAGAAGTTAGATTAACTGTTTTATTCGGCTTATCTATTTTAACCGAATCTTTATTGGTATAAGTGTTGTTGGCAGTTGTGAAATTCGTGTTCGGTGAACTTTTAGGAAATAACATTTCAACAACTGTTCGTAATGTTTCGTGGAATGCTTTACGTGAATCTCCAGATAACCATAGACGATAAGTTCCATTCGAATCATTTATTTCATCAGGTACATCAGATGATTCTCCAAATCGATACTGATTACTATCTTTTATAATACAATCAAAAATTTTCTACGAAAAAATGAGAAAACATATAATTCAACATAAAATTAATTTATTTTCATACTGCGTTACTATTTTCTACGTCAATTGCTCTTAATGAATAATTTGTCATATCCTCATCTTGAAGTATTTGAATACATGATCGATCATTATAATTCCTTTCGAGAGTTTGTTTATCATTCGGCACAAAATGAATACGACCAGAACTATAAGCTAAAACACTCATTATATCTATTATAAAATAAATATATATGTTAGAATTAAATTCAATCAAAAATTCTCTGATTCTTGTTCAGTAATAAATAAAATAAAAAAAGCATTATCTTGAGCATTTAAATCATTCATTGTATATTGCGCATAAGCTAAATGACCATTGATAAAAAAATATTGATGTTCCAGTGGAAAATTGTGTATATGTTGAAACTATAAATAGAATAAAATTTAATTATGTTAAAACAAATTTTATTAGTTTACTTACCAATACTCGTAGTTCATGAATTGTTGTCGATTTGTAAACATTCAGATTGTATTCTTTATTCTTGAAATTGTTTGATAAACTAATACCATCAAGTTTTACTCGAATTCTATTTTATAAAAAGAAATAATTGACATATAGAAAGTAGACAACTATGTTTTGCATACTGAAGTTTCTCGTCTTCTAACTTTTCCTTTAATACTTCACCCTTTAATTGAATACGTTGTGAAGCTAGTTTAGAAGTAAAGTATGCAGCATTATTGGCATCACCATTTTCAATACATTTATTCAACTTATGAATATTGGCAAGAATTTCTGCAAAATTAAATAAGAAAATTCTTATAAACATGTATAAACTGTTCGATTATATAGAATGAAGAATGATCAAAACGTACTCACACGTCTATCTATACAAATCATAGATCGAACCAATGATGAATATAGTGTGTGTAAGAGTTTTCGAAAGAAACATTGTCACACAGATTTCCAAGATCAAATTTAGTCGAAAGTCAAGAGAAGTCTTACAGATATTTAACATCATCAGATTTACGACAAATTAAATCAATATGTTTATTGCAAAAAGATAAAGCTGATACAACGTCAAGTCGTCAATGAAAAACTGTCGTTATTATCGAAAGAAAGTATTGATTCCATTCTACTGAACAATAATTCTTATCAACAATGAGAAGATAGAATAATCATGGAATTTTTTGATTTGTGTTTCTTATCGTTGAAACAAAATAAATATCAGTCAAATCAATCTTTTTTAAATTCAGTGCTATATTGCGAACTATATCACTCGGAGTATATCCAATGCCTACTAAGAAATAAAATGAAAAACTCTAACCATTTTCATATGGAGTGATTTTCGAGTTTGATTTATCAGTCAGGGACCTGTTCGAAATTGCTGATGTTTGTTGTGTACCATTCAGTTTTGCCAAACACTCTTTCAATCCTTGATGGAAGCGATCGCGTGCTTTGGGATTTAAGAACAAACGAAACCTTGTATTTTCAAATCGAATTTCGTCCGGATAGTTCTCCGAAGGTCCAAATATATATATATCGGATCTTGTAAGTGGAATATTAAAAATTTCCTACGAAATAATACTTTAATTATTGATTTTATCTAATAGTACTTATACTTGTTTATTATTGTCTATATCAATCGCTCGTAATATGTAAGTATTACAATCGCTTCCATGCAGTTCAACAAATGATCTGTCTGAATATTGATGCATACACGGACTGGGATCATCTGATATTGACAGAATACCAGCAGCACTATATATAACAAGATTCATTTTTTTTTATGTCAATTGACTATTTGCAGAAGGAAAAAACCTTGTAATTTATATGACTCATTATGGGATTGTCTAAATTATATTTTTAATTTCAAGACTCATTCACATCCAAGGAAAATATCATTTAATACTATTTATACGAAATTTTAATGCTTATCGTTCTACTTAATCTAGAGGATCGTTACTATTTTCCTATTGGTTAAAATCTAAGCATACCTGATTACTGTATTTCGAGACTAGACAAAAATATTATTCTCATTTAAACGAACAAAAAAATGGCTTTACATCTTTGGCCAACAGTTGAAACATCAAAAGTTAATTCATTATGGTTTCGACCATTACAATCTGGTAGAGAAAAATAATTTATTTAAATTTAGATTTCTCAATTATTTATTTTATTTTTAGTACGAGAAGAAATGAGTTTAACTAAATTAGAAGAAATACTTGAACAATCACGACGAAATTATATTGAAAGAGGTTATTTTTACTATTAATTTATAATTTAATTTCTCATAATAAATTTTAATTAAGGTACAAATTTACCATTTCATGGAAAAGCTGAAATGGATAATACAGATGTAAGAATTTTTCAAAAAAAAAATAATTAAAGAGAAAATACAGTATAAGTTTTTGTTTTTCAGGATGATGAAGATGCAGATGAAGCTGAAGAAGAGAGTGAAGGAGGTGAACCCGAAGATGAAATGGATGCACAACAAGGTTCGAGTTCACCAGGAACAGCCGTTGGTGTTCCTCCAGCACCACTTGATGTTTAAATATGTCGATTTTGTTTTTATTGAAATTTTTTTGTACATAAATAAATAAATTTCTGTTCTTTATCTCTTTCGAAATAAAATCATAATGATTATACATGTATTTTTAGATATGGCTTTAGTAAATGGGTAAAAAATTGAAAATAAAATCATTCATTCTTTTATTTCTTTCGTGTTTATAAGTACTGTTCCGGTTAAAATGGTGCGCATTCAATCATCAGATAAACCAAAACCAATTTCACATAATACTGATGTTACAGTTGGACTTTTAGAGGATCGTGACGATAATATTGTATATCTTCGCATTACTGTTAATCAAAAAGTATGCTCAATTGTACATCTAACTATGAAAATTAACTATCAGTTAATATATAACCATATTTCCTCACAGATCATTATTATTATCGAGATTTTAATTGATAAACTATATCTATTTCTAATTTAAACAAAATTCTTATACCATCTATTCACTTTCTATAAATACTACAACAACCATGTTCTAATGTTTCTAACTAATGATAAGATAAAGAATATGTTTGTCACATCTAAAATTTTACTTTTCATCTATTTTCTTCATTGAATACACTCTAACAACTTGAGTATAGTATTATATTTCGTCTTATGTAATTACGATTGAAATGATAAATTAGTATCGATATAATCTTTTATGAATTTTGATCAATGAAAAAATAGTTTAAATAATGTGATTATGTTTCAATCTCATATTTTCTTAGTCGATTCTCTCTGAAGAACTTGATCATTACAAATGGATCGAAAATTCTTCTACGGACGGAGTTGCAGCACTCGATTCATCATCAACTAAAATTATTATTATTTATAATGCAACGGACAAACAATCACGTGATCTTTTTGCCAATATGAAACGACTTCTTGAAAGAGGTATATTTTGAATAATATATGATATATAGTAAAAATACATCAGCGATTATTTTGTTTTTATCTGGAAAAAACGGATATACTTGAATTTTTATATGATAAATTTGAGATTTTAAATTTAATATATCTAAAGAATATGGTCTTTTACTTTTATTTATATCATAGATAACCTTATTCATATAATGGAGTGTTTTAGAATCACCGATTAGACCAATTTCAAGACCCGTAGATGATTTTAAACTACCAACTGAACCTGTTCCACGACCCATAGATCCGATTATGCCACCAGAAAAGGGTATTGTAACCATGTTAAACAAATTATACTAAAACTATTAATTATTTGACAGTATAAATCAAAGCGTATGGATAATCAACCTTTGATAATAACATTAGGAATGTTTAATACTAGTTGTCTATATGAATTATGTCCATCTAACGATAAACTTTGTTAATAAAGGTTTAAACCTATACGCGTAGTTGAGCGGTAGTATTAACTTTAATAATTAGATTTCTGAAAGTTACATACGATCTGATGTAATCAGATTAGTACTATTGGTTAAAAATTCAAAATAGTTCTATTCTTCATACTGTTCATCAGTTTAATATGTATGCTCTCGATTTTTTCATCGCTCATAAGGTATTTTTCTTTTCTAAAAACTACAAATCATATCGTTTTAGCTGTCAATGATCTGATAAACTACGTTGAATCCGGTGCAGAAAATGATACTGAAGATCCTGCAAGATATTTAGCAAAAAATCGAACAAATATTCAATTTAATCTAAAGGATCCTAACGATAATAAAAAAAAAGCTGCAGTTAAAAAATTCGAAACTCAAGAATCATCCAATATTCTTAAGTTTGTTGATATTATATATTTTTTCGAATTTTTCAACTTGTTTATTTAGATTAAAACTGCAAATTGAATGTCATTTAGATCGAAATCCTTTAATTTTACAACTCGATGTACGTTCTGGTACTAATCTTCGAACATTAAAAGATCAAGTTTGTTGATATATAAAACACATTTATTTATAAAAAAAACGAATTTATTATTTAGATTGAAAACAAAACAGGCATCAAGTATAAAGATCAATATTGGTATGCATTTGAACGATATATGATTAGTGATGATTATGTATTTGGATCTACACAATTAGTAGTTCCACCTCCTCCAAGAAATGCTCCGAGTAAACGAACAGTGCAGCCAACAGAACCTATTCGAACTGGTGATACTCTTATCATGTATATAGCTCAACTTCGTCCATATGAAAACTGATAAAGAAAAATGACACATTCTTTTTGATATTTAATTTAATTTTCTAGTTTCTTTTTTATTATACCAAAAAATATTAAACCAGGTGCGAATATTATCGTTTTCTATTTCAGATGACTCATCATCGTCGTCAATTAATAACAGATCTTGATACTCATCTAACGAAATTATCTATTCCATATCAATGTCGTAAATCATCATTATCATATGGTATATGGAATACATCATTAAATATGATAGAAATAATTCAACAACATCGTTCAGCAGCAAAATGTTTTCAATCAATGGGTATTACGAAATATTCTAAGTTATATATTTATCCAGAAGAAGCTATATATATGATGCAATCTTCATTATTACAAGTATCATTAAATAATTCGAATGAAAAACATAATTTTCCATTATCACTTGATGAAGCTTATTCATTATGGTTTAATCAATCTTTATTAAATCTTCAACATCTTCATGTTTATCAATATTTAACAAGAATTGGATTTATTTTAATTCGACATCAATCACAAACAGCAATAGTTGAAAAAAAAGAAATTCCATCAAGTGCAACAACACATACTACTAGTAAACGAAAACGTAATGAATATGAAGAAGAATCAGTTGAACACCAAGAAAATGAACATCATGATGAAACTTATCTTTGTCCGGTAAATAAAAAAGTTTAAATAAATCAAGAAAATCTAATTAGTGTACATGAGAGATCAATCATATTGATTAACACAAAAATAGAGTTTTAATTTAATATTGAACAGTTAAATTTCTCTTATTAGATTCATTTATCATCTGATTGTCAACGTCTATGGTTTCCAAATTATACCGATGAATCTCCTATAAATATAAAAAATTATCCTCGTTTGATATTTCCTAGTAAATTATCATCAATTCAAATTGACTGGGTTCCAACTGATTTTAATACTAAAATTTCCAATGTTCAATTAACTATCTATGAAAATAATATTTCAATACCTCGACCATCTTATTCTCTTATTCGATCAATTGATCTTCAATCTCATGCAACAATATATCAACGTTTATCATCATTTTCTTCTCAATCAGATGAAACTATTCCATCATCAGCATCTTCCAATATTTTCTTCGATATGTATACACCAAGAAAAAGTTTTCGTAAAACTCAACCAGGCCCACCGGATTATTATATAAGAATTCAAAATGGTAATGATGAATTTAATTTCAAAGAAATATATAAAGAATTACAAGAAAAAACTTTAACAGCAGTTGTTCATAAGGGTGATGTTTGTTTTTATTCATTTAAATCATTCGATCCAGTTCAAGCTTTGCAATCAAAACAATAAATATGCATATGATTATTTGTTATTCTTTTCTTTTTTCTAGATGTTACCAATATATTCTTGGTCAATAAGTATAGTAGCAGGTTTATTTATTCTTAATTGGTGTCGAAATCGTTTGAAACAATCTAATTATCGTTCTATTGCAAATGAACGTGCTCAAAGAAAACGTCAAGCTCGTGATAAACATCGAGAAGAATTATTACAGCTTTTACGTACAAAATATTCAACAAAACTTCCTGATCGTTCTATAGTTGAACGAATTTCGAGATCAACAGCTGTCGAATTATTAGATGGTCTTGAAAAAAATGAGTTTACGTATACACAAGTTATACTAGTTCTTTCTTTTCGTTCAATTAAAATTGGAAAAGAAATCAATTGCACTACGGAAGAATTTTTTGATCAAGCAATTGAATATGCTGAACAATTTGATAAAGACCATACTAATAATCACGAAAAAATTTTACTCAAAGGTATACCAATTAGTATAAAAGATCATATTGATCAAAAAGGAGCAGATTCATCAATGGGTATAGCAATGAAAAATTTTCGGCCATCATTAAAAGATAGTCTTATTGTTCAATTACTTAAGGAACAAGGGGCATTAGCTGGTTTTGTACGTACATCAACTATACAAGGGATGATGTTACCTGAAACAGAAAATGAAACTTATGGAATAGCAACTAATCCGTTTGATTCTACACGTACAACAGGTGGTAGTTCAGGTAAACAAAAAATGATTGAAAATGAAAGAAAACTTCGAATATTTTTATTTCAGGTGGTTGTGGCGCTTTAGTAGCTTCGTGTGGTACCCCAATAAGTATTGGTACTGATATTGGTGGAAGTATACGTATTCCTGCACATTTTTGTGGTATATTTGGTTTTAAACCAACTCCAGGTCGAATCTCGAATGTAGGTATAACAGTTCCATCTCCTAAGAATATACCAGGTGAAACAAACATTCGTGCAACTGCTGGTCCATTAGCACGATGTACAGATGATCTTGTTCTAGTTATGCGTTCATTTTTACAAGAAAATCTTTGGCATAATGATCCACATCTATGCAGACAGCCATGGCGAGATGAACGTTTTCAAGATAAAAAAAGATTAACTATTGGTTTTTATACAAATGATAATTGGTTTCCACCTGCACCTGCTTGTATTCGAGCAGTTAATGAAGCTGCTGATGCTTTACGTAAACTTGGTCATACAGTTATTCCATATACACCAATTAATGTACAAGAAGCAATGCGTCTTATTCTTGGAATTATAGGAGCAGATGGTGCTGCTCATTTTCTTGAATCCTTAGAAAATGAACCTTATAATCCAATTTACAGACCACTTGTTTATGCTGCAAAACTTCCAAATTTTCTTCGTCCATTTTTGGCTCGTTTAATGTGTATTGTTGGTGAACGACGTAATGCAAATACTGTTCGTTCTATTGGTTCCAAAAGTGCTTATGAATATTTTGATTTAATTATTGATTTGAAAAACTATATGAATACATGGTTAGATGATTTAAGAAAAAATAAAATTGATCTTCTTCTTGTAAGCCAAATTTTAATTCATAACTAAGATAAATTCATTATTTTTTAATTAGACACCCGTTAATGCTTTACCAGCATTTCGTCGTGGTCAGTCTGGTCATTTATTTAATGCATGTAGTTATACATGTCTTTTTAATGTTTTACATTTACCAGCTGGTGTTGTACCAATGACATTAGTTCGAGATGATGAGCAATATTATGAAGATATTGGTCATTTAAATAATGATATAGCATTATCTATGGCTAAAGAAACATGTCGACAATCAGCTGGATTACCTGTCGGTGTTCAACTAGTTGGATGGCCAAATGATGATGAACGTGTATTGTGTGTAATGAAAGAACTTGAAAGTTCAATCGAAAAAATTCAATCACGAATGTCAAAATTCGCTGAAACCATTGATATATTTACAGACTAAAACATTTATCATATTTAATATATATGTTTATTAGAAACACTAAATTAATTAGTTTTTTTTTCTATTATATAATTTCAGCATTTAGTATAGATTTTGTTTTCTTACTTTCAGATATTTACATGTCACGGTAAACACTCTATGACACTAAATCTTCTATTTCTCTACGTTTTTCTTCAATCATATAGATCCGACCAAACCGCGACTCTTATAATTAAAGATGATTCTGATTCTAATAAAATCAGCAAACATTCCAATGTTAATTTAGAATTGATCAAAGATGGATCTAAAGTAGAAATTCTAATTAGAAACCCGATTGATGCTGAAGTACACGTCTTTGATAAAACTAATTTTACTCCAATAAATTTCATTGTAGATTATACGTCAATATCCTTTATGTAGCTGTTCGTATTTACCAGCTTCATCGAGTGAACATGCTATTTCTTTTCATGTTAATTCTAAACAAGAAACAGTAATCATTATTGCTAAAGATGAACGATGTGTAAATTTATTTGCATCTATTCAAAAATATTTCAATGGTAAATGAATTGATGTTAGGAAAATCTTTCATTATTCATCTTCTATTAAAAGATTCGTCATACATTTCAAAAGAAGAAGATGTGTCTAAAATTCAGAATGATCTTCGAGAAAAAGTTGAACAATTTATCATAGCATTCAATAAGGGCGACGTCGATACAGCTACTCGATACGCTCAAATTCTTGCTAATTCTAGCAAAAATCATCTATTCATTTTTATCTGGATAAAATTGGTGAACAAGAAAAATCAATCACTCATAAATTATTAAAGTAAATATATACAATAGTTCGAGATTTATATTCTGTAAGACAGATACATTTTCTATTTATAGACTACAAATAACAATTGAAAGTGTATTGGGTAAATCTGATAGCAATCCCTATGAAGTAATTATTCGTTCACATACATCTTTACGTGAACTTAAACAAAAAGTAAAAATTAATATTAATTGAAAAATATCTAAATTCTCGTATTTAGATATACGATCAAACAGGAATTCCTGTTAACAACCAACAATGGTTTCTTAATCGATAAATTCTTTCCAATACTTACGAATTTACTGATATACCACAATCGAAAACTAATAATACGGGACTTTTTCTTTATATTTGTAAATTATAATCATTTCGAATTGCAAGAAGATATATATAGAAAAAAGGAAACATTCGATATCTTATCATTAATTGAAATCACTTTTTGTGCACAAAGAAAACAATTGATGATTGTATCGAATTTATATTATCTCTAAGACGCTTGTGATGTGAGATAAAGAATGACTATCAAAATAGATAGATAGCTATTTCAATGATTGAATAGATTATATTTTTGATCAAATGAAGAAAAAACGAAAAACGAAATTAAATTTGACTATCGATAGAAAATGTGTGTGTTCAACCATTTCATTGAACAAAAGAAAATGTCTCATATGTATATGCTTATGTCATGATAATTACAAACGAGTTATGCTTCAATGAATCTAGATTGATCAGTTAATTTAATGTATACTATCAGTGAACTCACATCCATATTTCTATATATATATTATTTATATAAAAAAACGACATTATAATGAAGGTTTGTAATTAGTTATATTGACTTTATACATTGGATTAGATTATTTATAGAACAATTATTCGATATAATATATTATTTAACTTTTCACTGTTAATGTGTATCATCTATTGGATAGAAATAACATTAAATGAATGGTTAGATATATTGACTGAACAATAAAGAAAATATATGACTGGATATTTTTTATTATCATTATTATAGCATATAGGTCAAATTCGAATTTCTTTTTCTTTCTCTTTTGTGTAGTATTATCAAATGAAAGGTATTAATTCAGAACCGATAATATTAGATATTGATCAAATTGATGGAAAGGAAAATCAAAGTTATTTACGAAGTCAAAGTGATCAATATCTACCAATGTTTAAAGATACAGACAGATTCAATGTAAAAAATCTATCTAGAACAGCATCAGCTGGAGCTAATGCATTTCCTGTAATATATGAATTACCAATAGATGATATTAAAATTTCTACAGCTGATATTCCATATCCATCACCAACAATACCATATCCATCTTCAGCTCCTCCAACTATTCGTCATCAAAAATTAAATCGTCGATCAACGATTCTAGAAGCATTTGAAAGACAATTATCCTCACCTGATTCCATATCGGATCGTGCAAGTACAATACTTGTCTGGCAAAATTTAACTGTTTCTACACGAGAAGATAGAAGAAAAGAGTTTTTTCAACGATTGAAATCATCAAAAAACTTTGTACCACAAAGAAAAGCTTTACTACATAATATAAGTGGAGCGATTACAGGTGGTTTATGGGCTGTAATGGGTACGTTTTCTGTATTATAATTAGTAATCAATACAAGTTTTTTCTTCAAATAGGTGCATCTGGTTCTGGTAAATCCACTCTTTTAAATACATTAGCTTGTCGTCTTGATGTCAATACAGTTGTCGAAGGTGAGATGCGTCTCAATGGTGCTCCCTATGATAATGCTGAATTAAAACGTATTGCTGGTTATGTTATGCAAGATAATTTGTTAAATGGATATTTGACTGTTGAAGAAACATTGATGTATACAGCGAAATTACGTTTACCAAGAGTATTCACTGATAAACAACGGAAAGAACGTGTCGAAGATGTTATGACTGATCTAAACTTAGTTCCTGTTCGAAAGGCAATTATTGGTACTACAATGAAACAAGGTATATCGGGTAGTGAACGAAAACGTTTATGTGTTAGTATGGAATTATTAAATCGTCCACAATTATTATTTCTTGATGAACCTACAACAGGCTTAGATTCTGTTACTGCACTCGATCTATTACATACACTTCATAAACTAGCACATGGTAAATCTCAAGAAAAAGCTGTTACTATTGTATGTTCAATTCATCAACCACAATCAAAAATATTTGATTTATTCGATTCATTAGTTTTATTGAAAGCAGGAAATATTATTTATCAAGGACCAAGAAATCAAGCTATGGTAGAATATTTCGTTTGAATTAATTTTATATGTTTTTGTATTGTATATTTAGGAAGTATATCATGCAGCTGGCTTCCCTTGTCCATTATATACTAATCCTGCTGATCATTTATTAGATGTTATAACACCTTTAAAAATTGGTACAGTCCACGTAACACTTGAACAAGAAGCAGCTACTGAGGAAGCAATTATTCGATGTCAACCTCCAGTTGATATTGATCTTAATATGGGTGTAGATAAACGTCGTACTCAAATGGCTAATCTACCATTGAATCCAACATGGTTGACACAAACTAGAATATTATTTTGTCGTAATTTAAGAGAACAATCACGAAAATTACGTATTCTTATGATATCGCTTATACAAACAATTATAATGGCGGTCTTAATTGGAATTGCTTTTCTTAATATTGGAAATACACAAACAAGTATAGTACGTCGTGAACCTGTTATATTTTTCTGTATTATTAATCAAGGTTTTTTTTGGTGCATTGACAGTTATTAATTCATTTCCTGTTGAACGAACTTTAACGCTACGTGAACGCGCATCTGGTACTTATTTTGTCAGTGCTTATTTTACAGCTAAAATTTTGGCTGATACATTAGTTCAATTACCTATACCAATTGTATTTGTAAGTGTATAAAGAAATTGTTTGTATAAACTTAAATGTCTGTTTTCTAGTCATGTATTGTCTATTTTCCTGTTGGTCTTCAATTCACAGCTGCAAAATTTTTCATTTTTACATTATTCATGTTATTATGTTCAATAGCAGCAACATCATTAGCTTTAATGATATCTGCAATTTGTAAAACAACAAATATGAGTGTTACTGTATTACCAATGGCATTTGAAGTATCACGTTTATTTGGTGGATTCCTTTTAGCACCATCACGTGTACCAGTATATTTTTCGTGGCTTGATGCTTTATCTTATATAAAGTATTCATTTGTTGGTGCTAGTTTAAATGAATTACATGGTTTACAGTTAAATTGTAATGGATTAAAAACTACCATGTTTAATGCAACTTATAATATAACAGAAACATGTATAACATCAGGCGAAGAATTAATAAAAGAACGTGGATATGATCATATAAGTTTAGAAGGTTGTATAGGTGTATTAATCGCTTTTATTATATTTTGTCGTGCATGGGCATTTATTGGTGTTCGATTTCTTAAAAATTGATTTTTTCTTACATTGTTATCTAATATTAATGTTTTTATATAATTTTTCCTCTGTATTAAATATAAAATTTTTAATAGAAAAAAAAGAAACAGTGACTTTTTTTGGTGTTTTGTTAAATAAAAATTATTGCTCATTGAAAAGTTTTATTATTCACAAATAAAAATAAGGCAATACATATAGAGGATTCTGGTAGGTCATCTAGTAAAAGCAATTTTCATAGTAGTAGAGATTCACTATTTTCGAATATTACAATTTTTGTTAGAACTAGTGGAAATTCATTTTTTCTATTAAGCAAATCCTGATTCAGTCAGTTGTACACTTTATTTTGATGAAATAGTGAGAAATGTCTTTTCTTATATTTATTTATTTTCCTATAAATACACACACAAGTTAAATCTTTATTATGAAAACAAAACAGTGGAAATAGATATATACTAATCAATTATCATTATATCATCATCGTCATCCACTACTGTTGTAGTTGCCGGTTTTGCTACTGTTTTTCCTGAAGTGACTGTAATGCTACTTTTTGTTGCAATATCAGTTTCTTTAGCTGCTTGCTGTTGTCTTTTTTGTTCTACCATTGTTTCTTTAATTCGATCTCGTATACATTCTTGACGTCTTTGTAAATATTCTGGTATTTGTCGTTGTGGTTTAAATTCTTTTTTTCTAAGCCACTTATCAATTGCCTAGAAGAAAAATTTAAAAATGAATATATAAGATTCTTTCAATACCTGTTTTGTATCATCTTTAAGTTTATTAGCTAATGTTAAATATTCGTCTGGTTTAATATTACGTCGTACATGATCAGTCAGAGCCTGATTATAATAATCTCTTATTTGTTCAAAATTTAAATGTTCAGCTTGTTTATTAACAAATTCATTTTTCAAATGCTGTAATTTTGTTTGTAAAAATGCTAATTGATTTTCATAGGCTTTTGATAATTCCGGTTTGATAAATTGATGAAAAAGACTAAATTCACGTGAACAAGTTAAACGAGCTAATTTTTCTAAATCAGTTGTTTGTAAAGTACGTGGTCGTATAGCTGCTGTTCTTCGAGATGAAATAGATGTTGTAGGACGTCCATTAGAACGAGATCGTGGATCACCAGAAGGTTTTGTTGGCTTTAGTGGTTTAGCAAGTGTAGCTGGTCGTGGTTTGGGTTTTTTCGGTACTTTTGGTTTAGGTGGTGGACGAACTCGAGGTGGTTTTGGTGGTTCAAGACCTTGAATAACAAAGATAAAGTATTAAAAAATTTTTACAAAAAATTCATATATATACGTTTTTGAATTTCTCGTGTTTCACATTTCGTAACCAATTTAACTGTTCTTTCTTTACGTGAAGGAAATTTTACACCAAATTTCGGTGCGTCTGGAGTCGTCATCTGGAATAGAAAGAAAAAGAGACACAAAAATCTACAAGTGATTCATCGAATAAAATAATAAAAATCGCATTTTGTCATTTCATTCTTACTCTTATTTGTATACGTACTCATAACTGTGACGTGTTATATATAGACATACGTATGTAATACTAGCAAAAGACCTTGTTCAGTTGTCAATACGATTGTAAAATAGATAGACTTATATTATTGTCAAAACCGTCGTTATAATAAAACGTATTTTAAATATAATAGTATATTTATTTCAATAATTAAATAAAAGTACAAAAAAATGTTCTTTTCTTTGATAATATTATTCATTAAAATGGTGACTTACATTGTAACAAGGGTTTGTATCGTATCTATGTTTGTTCTACTCAGTTTGTGAACAACGTTCTGTTAGTCGATGCAACGAAAGCAGTATGATAGAAAATGTACTCGATACGTACGCAACAAAAAAAAAAGGAGAGAAACGAGTGAACAACGACGATAGTATTACTACATCGTGTCTCGATTATAAGAGAAAAAAAGAGTATGAAGACGGTTGACCTCTTCTAGAAAGAACGAGAAGAAGAAAGAAAAAAGAAATACTTATGAAACCCTGAATTTATCGGGCTCGTTAGATTAAAGACGTCTCATTTATATAACCACCCCCCCCCCCTCTGCCTCTTACTCTATCAAGAGTGATGTTATCAACCATCATATGATCGAAGTCTCGTGTTCTTCATGTTAATTTTCTTCTATAATATTGTTGACTATTGGTCTGTACTCATGTTCAATCAGATATAATTTGACAGCCACTTTATTCAATGTCATTAAAAATAATGGTGTAAATTGTTACACTTTCAAGAAAAAACGAATTAAAATACGTCAATACTAGTAGCAAAAATAAAAATATTACATTCCGCGATATTTGAATTGAAATAATCATAGTTGTATTGGTAGATTATATTTCCTTGTACATGAAGATCTATATCAACTTTAAGAATTATTTAGATTCATATGGATATCATAATATTATGATTGAGTTTTTAATTACAACGAAATTTCTTTGATATGTAATTCATGGTGACTAGACATACGTTCTGCAATTCAGAATAATATAATCAAACTATAGTCTGATATTTATTATTTAATATTCTTTCATCATTATATAGATATACTATACTGATTGGTTGACTTACAACTAGATGAAATAAAAAATTAGATTTCTAAAAGAACTATTTATAGATTTTTTCTTCTTCATTCTCGTCTGTTTCGTTCAATTGTTTTTGTATATGGAGACATTATTTTAAATGAATGAGGACATTTCGGTACAAAGAGAAAGATAATAATCGAATGAGAGAGTGAATAAGAGAAAGAAAGCGAGAAGAATGAAGAAGATCATATACATCGATATTTCTTTTCATCCATATTTATAATCACACGCACTTTATCTACTTATCCATAGAATTCACATCTTTCTCTTTTCCTATATTTTATAACAATTTTAAATGAATTCATCAATTTGTGAAATACCAATAACACCATACAAAGAAATCGATAATGGTACAGATAACCATAGTTATACACGAAGTTTTAATGATATTCCCGAATCTCAGTCTAAACAGCATGGTAAATTTGATGTACATTTATCTATTCGACCAACATCAGCAACACCTGTACCATACTCGATTATACCTGAAACAACACCAGATATGATAGACAATTCAATTTCATTAAGATCATCATCGAATTCCAATCATAAAACTCAACCTGGATCTAATGGTTCAGGACCATATGAAAGACAATTATCTTTACTTGATCCTATGTCAGATCGTGTAAGTACAATACTTGTTTGGCAAAATTTAACAGTTCAAATTCGAGAAGATAAAAAGAAAGAAGCTTTTCAACGTATGAAATCATATAAAACTTTTGTACCAAAACGAAAATGCTTACTTCATAATATAAGTGGAGCAATCACGGGTGGTATATGGGCTGTAATGGGTAAATTTCTTATATATAAAAATAAATATCAAAATTAAATGAAAACAACTAATAGGTCCATCTGGTTCTGGTAAATCCACTCTTCTAAATACATTAGCTTGCCGTCTCGATGTCAATACAGTTGTTGAAGGTGAGATGCGTCTCAATGGTGCACCCTATGATAATGCTGAATTAAAACGTATCGCGGGTTATGTTATGCAAGATGATCTGTTAAATGGATATTTAACTGTTGAAGAAACATTGATGTATACAGCGAAATTACGTTTACCAAGAGCATTCACTGATAAACAACGAAAAGAACGTGTCGAAGATGTTATGACTGATCTAGGCTTATCTCATGTTTATAATGTTATTGTTGGTACACCATTAAAAAAAGGTATATCAGGTGGTGAACGAAAACGAGTTTGTGTTGGCATGCAATTATTAAATCGTCCACAACTATTATTTCTTGATGAACCAACATCAGGTTTAGATTCTGTTACTGCACTCGATCTATTACGTACATTTCATGTATTAGCACATGGTAAATCTCAAGAAAAAGCTGTTACTATTGTATGTTCAATTCATCAACCACAATCGAAAATATTCGATTTATTTGACTCATTAATTTTATTGAAAGCAGGAAATGTTATTTATCAAGGATCAAGAAAACAAGCTATGGTATAATATTTGATTTGAATTAATTTCATATGCTTTTGTATTGTACATTTAGGAAGTGTTTCGTGCAGCTGGATTTCCTTGTCCATTATACACTAATCCTGCTGATCATTTACTAGATGTTATAACACCACCAAAAAGTAATTCAATGGGTGGTGGAAATACGATTTCGCTTAAACAACAAGCAGCTATTGATTCTGCTCTAATAAATGCTCAATCTCCAGTTGATATTGATCTTAATATGGGTGTAGATAAGCGCCTTGTTCAAATGAATGACGTTCAACCACATCCTACATGGATAAAACAAGTTCAAGTGCTTCTTCAACGCAATTTTCAAGAACAAATTCGTCAGTCAAAAGTTATTATTATATCACTTATACAAACAATTCTGATAGCGGTCTTAATTGGAACTGTATTTCTAAATATTGGAAATGCCCAATCAAGCATAGTACGTCGTGGACCTGTTCTATTTTTTTGTGCTGTTAACCAAGGTATTTTTGGTGCATTAATGGTTATTAATTCATTTCCGGTCGAACGTGCATTAACACTACGTGAACGTGCATCTGGTACTTATTTTGCAAGTGCTTATTTTACAGCTAAAATTATTGCTGATACACTCGTTCAATTACCAGTTCCCATAATATTCGTATGTACATAAAAAATTATAGAACAACAAAAGTTCTCTCTTTATTTTCTAGTCATGTATTGTCTATTTTCTTGTTGGTTTTCATTACACAACTGCAAAATTTTTCATTTTTACATTATTCATGTTATTATGTTCGATAGCATCGACATCTTTAGCTTTAATGGTATCTGCTATTTGTAAAACAACAGATATGAGCGTGACTGTATTACCAATGGCACTTGAAGTATCACGTTTATTTGGTGGATTCTTTTTAGCACCATCACGTTTGCCAAAATATTTTGCGTGGCTTGATGTTTTATCTTATGTAAAATATACCTATGTTGGTACTAGTTTAAATGAATTACGTGGTTTAAACTTAACATGCACAAAGGCTGATCGAGATAGAAATTCATGCATTGAAAATGGTGAAATAATTATTCGTGAACTTGGTTTGGATTATATAAATATCATTGGTTGTATTGGAGCATTACTTGCATTTATTATTATTTGTCGTTCAATAGCTTTTCTTGGTGTTCGATTTCTTAAAAATTAATTTTTTTTAATAATTATGTTAAGCAATTGTTCTTTTTTATTATTTGAGAATTTTCATACTTTTCGTTGTTAGAATTTCAATTATAATCGTACGAGTTCTTCTTTTGATGTAGATAGTTCTATTGCTTAAAATAAAAATTGCATTCTGTTATATTAAACATTTATACGAGCAGTTTATGAATGTGATATCGTCAACGTGCATACAAGACTTTTTATCATGTTAATAAGTGAACTTTTGTAGTGACAATTTGCCTGAGTGGTGATATGATATGAAGACTAGATAAATAGTAAATTCTATTGTACGATAAGACTAACGTTTGGTGAAATACGAACAAAAAGGAAAATTAAAATATAGCCATAAAAACAGTATTTCTCCATTATAGACCGAGACATATAAATAGTATTGTTTGATAAAATCTTATACAGAGATTATAAAATTGGATAGTTTTTTTTACATATTATTATTGTCTTCTCTCATATTATTGCTAGTACATGATTAATACATATTTTATCTACTAAAGAACATTTTGTTACTTTGTATATATAGAAGTCTAACTGCTTTTCGGAATAAAACTTTATTGGTATTAAATTTTTAAGTAAAATAAATAATTCTGTGTGATCCAATGTTTCAAATCCATTACTGAAACTCTGATAGATCGGAATTATAATCACTCTTCTATTCTAATTTATTTTTTAAAGGACTTTGTCTATTTAGAAATTCAATAGACTAATTTTAAAGGATACAAATTAAACGGTCAGTATTGTATTGTAAATGCGTAGTAAAAGTGAATCAATAGTTGATTATAGTTGGTCAGTGGATTACCACATTTATATCAGTTTTTATCTTTCTGTAAAATCCCTCGATATCATATATATGTTGTCCTATTTATCGTCTTTATTTCTGTCTCGCCTATTTTATAAGTACTATTACGTCTATTTGGTATCGTATAGTAATAGACGAACGGATAATCTTCAGCGATTGTTATTTCAATTTAACAAAGAACTAGATTTATAATAACTTCCCTAGATCATTTTTCTACTAACCCTTATATAAGTACTTCAATTCATATACATTGTAACTGATTAAGTTTGAAATGGCAACAGCGATGAAAGTCACTGAAGCACCATCTTGAGGGTGAACGAAGGTGTGGGTGAAAAATAGATGTGATTCCAATAATCACACTCACACCCTTAGAGAAAAACGTTATGGAGGTCGAACATCAATAGCTAGAAAAGCATTACTTATTCAATAAATTTTTGTTACTTGTATTTGTTATATTTTCACTGATATTAATAGAAAAATTACTAATTAAAAAACAATTATCAACTGATCGTAATTATTGACATTCGACATTATTTACTTCTCACAAACCATATATTTATTGATCATTTAAATAGGATGCTATTTTAAATACTTCATATTCATTGATATAAACTAATTATATGTTTAAAATACTGAGATTTCTATTCTATTATAAGAGTATCGTTAACATATTTATATCTGTTTTGTTTGAAACATTCAGTTGAAGATTAATCCTTAAAACAAACAAGATATCAGCACACTACTGTCAATATTATTTCAGCCATAGTTTTAAACCATTCCACGTCATCATAGTCGATAAGAAAAGAAATTTCTTGATGACGGCATTACCTTTTTCTTTTACATCGTGCACGTTGAAAGGTTATATGAAGGAATAAACTACTTCCGAATTTTCATTTTTATCATAAAAAAGGAAGTAGAATTTCGTAGTATATAACATAATGTTCTACGCCGTGTTTGCCTTTAGTAACATCGTTATTATTATCCACAGTCAAACAGTCAATTCATCATGGATTATAGGAATAAAGGCTCAATTTTTGATGGTGTAGACAACAGAACAACAATGATAACACCTGAGCCTCCAACGTCTCCTGTACCTCCAGATAATGGCATGTTTATTGATATTCCAAGTCCATCCGAACCAACTACAACTACAACTTTCACACCTATTCCTGATGAATCTACAGATTCGCGAGTAATAGATTTTAATCAAGATGAATGGCGCGTAATAGATTCAAAAACAGGCAAACAACGTTCTCCACGACAACATGAATTTCTACGTCTTCTTTTAGAAAATCCACGATACTGTTCGTATGCAACTTGGTTGGATAAAAGTCAAGGTTTATTTACATTTTTATTACCTGAAGAAGTAGCTGAACTATGGAATAATGTTAAAAGTCGACAAACAGGTGGCAAAATGGATTATTCAACATTTTCTAGAGGTTTACGATATTATTATAAGAAAGAAGTAATGACTCAAACACATAAAAGATATACATTTTGTTTCAAACCAGACAATAAATAATGCTCCACCGTTAAAATCTCTTTTTTTTATAAAATACGGATAATATAAATAAAAACCAAGAAATCTTTGTTTTACCATCAAATCATAGATTATACTAGACGTTCTTCAGATCAATACAAAAGTAAAATATTTCTAATTAAGTAATAATGAAAATAAACAACTACAACCGAAAGAGATTTAACAAACTGCAACTCGTTGTTGATTCTCTGATTACAACTTAGGATAGATTAAATTTTCAGTAGTTGCTATGAATTATATCTAGACTAGTCAATTTATTGTATATCTAAATTTTGCTACGTAGTATGCCAAAAAATTGATATACTCTTGAAGTAAGTTAACCGATCCCATAAAAAAATATTTTTCATAATTTTATTCGAATAAATCTTTCAATCAATTGAAATTTGTTTAAGACATATGAGTTTATATTCGATTGTATCCTTAGAAAAATTTCAAATCAAAATTCTCATCAAGCAATCATCTTACTTGTTCTAACAAAACTGAGAGATATAAAATGCTACATACTTTCCTTTCAATAACTTATTGTCTATTCGATTTCTTCAATTAGATATTTCATGTCCTCTATAAAGATCCATTGATGTTAATGAGAAATATTAGTTGTAATAATTGACAAAAAAGTATGTGTTTGTATTTTAATGTCATATCAAAATTATGAAAACGCTAAACTTTCGCTTCGGACATGCTCCATCAAACTACGTAGATTTTTATGATTAAATAATTAAATGACTAGTTGGAAAAAAGTATCTCATAATAATATCCAACAGTGCTTATTTACAAAGTAATAATGATGATGATATATCAATTTAAACAGCGAAAATCATGATTTTTTTTCGTTTTTACGTCATAATTTAATTCGTAAATATTCCATATCATAGTCATGATTCTTAATGACTTAATATAAAAATACTTCATTTTATAAGGTGTTATACAAATATATTAGTTTCGAAAAAAAATGCTTGACGATCAAATAGATGACACTTCTTCAACTGGATTTCCCGATTCGCTAGAAGCATTATTTAAATATATTGATGCACTTCCATCTTATCCGATAAATTTTGATGACATCTCTTTTGTTTCAAATGAATGGCTTATTACGGATGAACTTACAAAAAAAATACGACCTCCAAAATTATATGAATTTCTTCGTTTACTTCTGGATAATTTATTTTATATTTCTTATGCATCCTGGTTAAACAAAGATGAAGGTTTATTTAAAATTCATAAACCATTAGAAGTTGCTGAACTTTGGGCAAAAGTTCGAGGTCGATGCACAAATAATAATATCGATTATGATAAATTCTCACGAAGTATTCGATATTATTATGAAGAGAACATTATGATACCAACACGTACAAAATATACTTATCGTTTCGCTAATAATAAATAATTCCACATCTCGAAGACATTGTCTATTTGCTGCTTGTTATGTTTTCTTTTTAATAAATAAAATCAGTTAGCTATTTCATTCGTTATATATTACGGTTTATTTATAGACTAGTCATTTGATAAAATTAAAAAAGATCCATTCAATCACGTATTCATTAAAATCATGCGCTTGCAATGATTAACTGCATTAAAAAAAGCGTCATAGTCTGTCAATATCAGATTCAGTATATGAAGAACAGGAAAAAAACACCTGATCACTAATATGAAAATATTTTCGTTCGTCATACATCAGATAAATCATGACAGTTTATGTGATTACTCTAGGATCAAATCATACAAGTTGTGATTTTTCAAATAATCACTTAAAAATGCAGGCTTTTCGTAAGATAAGAAATAATCTTAGACTTCAAGTTAATTTTGGTACTGATGTCAAAAAAAGTACCTTTAGATACTTCAGCATTATCTGCGAGATTATTAGTAAGGAAAGAGAATTAGTAATGACTATGTATTGTTTCTAAACGATAATAAGCTTGTATAATCTTCGATTTTCATTAAACTTGAGCAAGTCTTTCTTTTGAAATAAAATGAGTAAAAGATATACAAAAATATCGTTTCATTAGAACTCGATTAAAACGTTTTATTTCTATATCTAATCGCCTGTATTAACATAAATAATTACAAAAAAATCCGAACGTTTCATCATAAAATAATATAAATATCATGAGTAAATGAAAAAATAAATAAATAAATACATATATCTATCAAGGAAGAGAAATAAATGGAACGCAAAAAAAATTATAAAACCTATGGACAAAATGAACTAAATTGATTACCAATAATTAAGAAACATCCACTCATCATCAATTTCTTCCTCATAATCATTTGTTGTTGAATAAGCAGCTAAATTAAGATAACCTTTAGGATCAATATTTTTTTCAATAACAGTTTTCCATTCAATTCGACATAATGGACATGTAACTAATTCATTTATAGACGATTTTGCTTGTCGCCATTTTTCGAAACAATTTTTATGCATATTATTTCCACATGATGTTGAACAAAATATAATATTATTTTCATCATTTATCATTGATTCAAAACAAATTGGACATTCATCATCTGCTGCAATTATTTTTTGTGTAACATTTGTTGAAGTTAAAATAACATTGGGATCACCTGTTTTAGCATAATAAGCTTCACGAATCTATGAGAATAAGAAATTTCTATATGGATTGCATAGGAACTACTAAAATTCATCATGATCTATTGTTACGAAATACAGATGATTAGATATGTAGGTCATACAGAGATTCTACAAATAAACCGTTAGCTACTGTCTGTGGAGAATATACATTATTATCTCTGTCATGAAATCTCTTTTCTTACCGGTTGTTCAGCAAGAACAGATGAATCATTGTTTTGTAAATCAGCTTTAGTAAATATTTCATTTAATTCAGTTGTAAGTAATGCTTGTTGATAAATTAACGGTGAATTACGATCAACTTTGAGTACACGATGTAAAATAAATATAATATGTTTACATAAATTTCCTTTAGCATAATCTGGACCTTAAAAATAAATTTGTTTTAGTTAGAAAGAGAAAATAGAAAAACGTATTTAATACTTACAAGTACATGACGGTATATGAGTAATAGTAACTGTATAAACATTAGCTGTTTGTCCAAGTACTTTAAATTCTCGATAGATTGATTCATTTGATGATTTTGTTATGGCAAGTAAATAAAGTCGTTGATTTAAAGCACGATCAATACGGTCATAAATAGCAACAGTCATTGTTGCTCGATAACGACGAAGACGTTTTTCAGTTACTTTTTTTTGACGTTTAGATGATGATGGCATAGATTCATTTATTAAATTTGATTCATTTACAACGGATAATGTAAAATCTTGAACATTTTTACGTTTCGGTGCTAAACGTTGTGGAATATTCATTTTTGTTTTTTAAATAAATAAAAGATTTATCGATATTAATGAATATAATAGATAGAATCGACTAGCCGCCGTTTATAATAGAATGTTTCTGTTTCTGTTCGATTATATTCTTTGAGAGAATATCTAAATGAAATTTATATAAAGATATAAGAAGAGATGACGCTAGTAGATGTTCGATTTTTAAGAATGAAATTTATAGACGAGTTTGTTGTAAATAGATGAAATTCTCATATTGTATGTTCTTGAAATTGAACGATATGTTTGTTAAATATTGCAGTACCTCTTCTATTTTTGTGGAAGTATTATAATGTACAAAAATGAGATCTGATGGTATGAATCAATGTAGACTATGATATTTCGTTTGGCTATCAAAATTCACAAATTAATAAGATTTAGTTCTTCTAATATGACAAAAGAACATAAAAGATCAAACCTCTCACCGTCGGCTCCTTATTTGATATATTCAGCAAATCGATCGATGTAGTATAATCGATTATTTATCAAATAATTATGAACCATATATTAACACACGTGCCACTTGTATGTGGACTACCGCATCAAGAATTAAACTAGATGAAAACTCGTCCTACCAATGTGAATACAACAGAAAGAGTGGGTTATACAGTCGTTTCGTAGAAAATACAATGAATTTTTCATACAAACCATGCTAGTTTTCTTTAGCTCTATAGACTGTCATTATATTATATCAATATTGAGAAAAATCGCTTTATCTGTATTGTATGTCATTCAACGTAAGTAGAACGATTTTTTATATAGATACGATAAGAGTTTCCAGTAGTTTCACCTATTTATTTAAACATCATTATTAGAAATTTTCAATAAGTAGTTTCGAGTAGAACAGAAATTTTGATATTTTTGTATTGTATGTCTTCATTTTGATAATTATTATTCAACAAAAGCAAATTAAACATTGAAACACATGAATTTGTAGTGTATCGATATATTGCTCTTGTATTTCACCACATCGACATATCCCAGACTCTTAATGCTCAATGATGTGCTAGCCGTATTTGTAGTAACGATTAATACACTATCAAATGTAAAAACTGATACTTTTAAAACTTCTCTGTTGTCTATGATTATAAAATGATTTTTCTAATAAAAACTTTATTTATATCTCGAAGAAATGAATTTAACCAATCTCAGACAAAGCTGAAACAAAATCAATCATGGTTAATCTATAAATTTGTATATAATTATTCTTCATCGATTGGTATAAGTAGGATTCGATCATTATTTCAAGTATGAATAAACAATTCAGCCAATGTTTTCTATTCTATAAAAAAAATAGACGAAGAGTAACTGTCATGATGTGTTATTATTATGTAGATTGTGCTTCCCTCTATTAATTTTTTAATAAAAACACAGATCTAATTTGATTCTAGTTTAATATTAGATAACAAAAAAACATAATTATATTTAATGAGATGAGTTTATAAATGAAATTTTATTTCTATAGAGTCTTATGTGGAGCAATATTAAGTGTACAACAATACTCATGGCAACACTTGACTTTTTATTGATTTAAAAACAATAATGGGAGCTATTTTAAATACTCTTCCCTTAAGCCAAACCGATAATTTGACAAACATATCACCAAATCGTGCTGATTGGTTAACTGCTCATGCAGATGCAACGGGGCTTGCAGTTGTCGAAGTTGAACGATTATGGAATCGTTTTAAGCAATTAACAGGTTCAAATGAACAGACAAAATTAAATCCTGATCATAATGCATTACCGAATGAATTATCCAATGATATTTTTGTTAAAAATGTAAGTTTGAAAAAAGCATTTTTTTTAGTATTTGGAATAATTAATCCGTGTTCATTAATATTTATTCTAAAATATTAGGAGAAAGAAGGACAAAACGTTTCGAAAGAGTTAATCAAAAATATATTAATATTATTTTTCTTAAATTCACAATAAATAGGAATTTCACTTTGAAATATTATAACTATTTCAACTATGAAAAATGTTCTATGGAAAGTCTTTAAACCAATCTTTTCGATATAATTATAGTTGCTTGATATTAGTCTAGGTATGCATTAAATCAAAATGTTTGTATTTTCAATTAACTTCACAAAGAATTTTAATATTATGTGAATTAATTGAATAATATCCAAACTAAAGTTTGAGTTCAGTACATATCTATTAGTTTTTAACTTGATTATTTTTCTATATTTTATTATTGGATATAGCTTTTAAAACATTTTCCTGTTTCGAAAACAGACCAGCATAGTATTCCATTTGGCTATTTTTTAACTGTTATGCACTGGTTTGATGAAGCTAGTATTCATGATAAACTTGGAGCTTTATATATATATCTCAATAATGGTGAACCAATTGATGCTAATATGATAAGTAAACTTTTAAAACATGTTTATCGAGAAACTAGAGATGTATGTAGTATATTTGAATAATACAAAAAAATAGACTTTATTTATCTTATATATTTGAAGGATGAAATCAAAGCATTATCTCATCAATTTATGCGACAATTACAAGCAAATGAACGTGGTATATATTGGTATATACATGTATATAATAATAAGTTAACTTTTCTTTAGGTCAGCTAAATATGGAACAGTTTATTGCTGGTGTTCAGCGATGTTTTTCACCAGGTGAACTTGAAGAACTTCTTAAATTTGATATTATTCCAGCGCATTTACTTGATGAAGCTAATGCAATATCATCACTTCAATCATCATCAACAAATCTTCGTAATGCATATGATTATGGTACTAATGATCTTGTTAGTGATAGCCAGTTAAGACAAATTGCTACTCAAGCAACACGTAGAAATTGGACAAAATTAGCAGTATCACTTGGTTTTCTTGAATATGATATTGAAGCATTTAAAGCAAAAAATAATAATGATTCAGCAGCAGCAGTATGTATTACGTGATTCATTTAGAAAGAATAGAAATAATCGAAAACGTTTTTTTTTATTTCATAGTTATATGAATTATTACAAGTATGGCATGAACAAGAAGGTGCATTTGCAACAAAAAGACGACTCAAACGTAGTTTAGAACAAGCTGATTTTCCTGAACTTATTCCAATACTTAATTAATAATAAATCAAAAAAATATTTTCATACATGTTTGTTTTTTCTGTAATAAATATTCGAAGAAGTTTTATATCATGTTTATGTAGCAATTGGTTTAAATTGTTTAATTCTAATTGAAAAAATGTTTTTTGTCATCTTTTCATCCAATATCGAAACTATTCTGTTATATTAATAACAGTTTAATAATCAAGATATTCGCTGATATACTAATCAATGATAATATCGATTTTTAATATTAAAATAAATAGGTTTTTTTTATTAGTTTAGTATGTCTATATATTATAACTACAAAATTTTAAGAAAAGAAAATTTAACATGTTTATCCCACACGAATACCTTTCTTTTCAAGTCTACTACGTGCGTCTTGTTGAAGTTGAAATAACTCAGATGCATAGCGTTCAACTTTTTCAAGTAATAATTTTGATTCTTCGCCTGTCTCAATAATAAAATCATATGGTCGATCAGCAGTGGATGCCGGTCGAAATATAGATCGTTCGATAACTCGTGTACTACGCATTGTTGGTACATTGGATTTTTCTTCCATCGATTTTGTAGTGGTCAATGGAACAATTGGGGTGATTGTAGATACTGATGATACAGAACTAGTTCGTTGAGTTGATGTTTGTGACCTTGTTGTTATAGGCATAAATACAACACGTTCGGTCTTCCTTGAGGATGCTGGAGTTATTGCTCGAGATGGTTCAGAAGCAGATTCTAATAAATTATCTATTTCAATAAGAAACTGAGTAAAAATACCCATCGGTAAAGTTAATCCTCGAAAACGGTTACGCAATTCTTCATTTAACTGAGTATGAACACGATGAGGTTTTCTTTGACACATTCGATAAAATTGTAACAATCCTCGACCTGACATTGTATCGCATAATGGCATCATTAAATTCAAATTAAAATCATGTAAAAAATCAAGTATATCTTTCTTGTTCCAAGTAACTATTGGTATTGAACGATATGTTGAATCGCTTGTATTACGCTTTCTATATTCTTCTGGTAAATATTTCACATAATTTGTATTTACGAGTAAAGGTGTTGAGGGTATAGGTGTTAAACCTATTAGAGTTCCTCTTGACTGTGAACGACATGAAACTTGTTGCTCTTTATCAACTAGAATAGGACGAGGACGAGTAGTTGCTAATGAACTTTCATCAGTAGATTTAGATGTTTCATAATTTTGTTTATGAATAACATCAGATGAAAAACGGAGGACATTTGGTTCAGCATTTTTTCGTTTAATTGTTGGTGTCATAGTTGATGTTGTTGTCATGGTTGATGTTGTTGCTGTTTTAGGAACTGATATCTTATTTCTGCAATATTGATTAATTTCTTTAATTAATAATGGACCACTTTTTTTCACATCAGATATATCAATATCAATACATTTATTTTTATCAACCATTGATCGTAACCATTCATCAACTTTGTATTGTTTTTGTATTATTAATGGAACAATTAATCGTTTACTATTATATCCATACATCAATTCACTAAAACAACGATTATCTCTTGCATATGAATCTGATAAACAAACGATCATCATCGTTGATTTATCAATCTGTTCAGCTACTTTCTCCATATCTAATACATAAAAACAGAAATTTTATTATTTATTCAAAACTAATTTACTTTGTCGATGAATAATATCTTGATCAAGCCAAACAGTAAAACCGTCATTAGCTAAGATTCCTTCAATTTTATTAACAATATCTTTGTCTTTCACAGAATATGATATCATTATATCATTTTTCTTTGTTTGTGCATTAGTTTTGGATTTGTTTGCACGATATTCAGATTCTAAATGAGTTAATGAATCAATGAGAATCAAAAAGTCATATTTATTAATCGATAGAAGATTACCTTTACTAAGATTCCAAAGAAGACCATCTATTATTTTTTGTATTTCATCATTTGTTGATTCATTCCATGAGATCGATGGATTAGTTTGTTGATTATTTTCAGATGAAGATTTTTTGATATGTTGTAATGAAAGAATAAATTGTGAATTATGATTTATCTGTTGAGCTATATGTTTATCAAATGATAGTGTCCAAAGAGATTTGAGAATGAATTGTTTTGATAGTCCAGATAGTTTTTGTGAAGATTGTATAAGAAATAATAATGCATTTTGTTTGATAATTTCCTTTTTCACTTGTTCGTATTGTACAAGAGCTTTTTAATAGAATAGAAAAATGAATCGAGAAAATAAGAATAGATATGCTTACATGCTAATGTTTCTGTAAGTTGTATAATATTTCGATTGATATTTTGTGAGCTAGGTGGAGCATCTTGTTTAGTTGCATCCTTAGGATAAATTTCTTTATGAAGTAGATTAAGAGTGGTGTAAATGAGTCTGGATATATTGTCTTGTAATTCTTTGATATCATTTTCATCTACTGTATAAACAAGCATCATATAAGCATTTGAAACAATAGATTCACATGGTGTTGTTACTAATCGTTGAAAAATCCTCAATGCTTTACATTGTTTTATATAATCAAGTGCATCAGGTTCATAAACTAATACACTAAAAACTTGAAGTGCTGCATCAATTAATAATGTTTCAGGATTATTTGGGACTTGTTTTATATTTCTAATTAATTCAGATTCACTTATCAAACGTAAAAGATGATTAATAAATGTTTGCAGTGATTCATTACTTAAATATAATGTAAAATAACTTTCAGCATAGACCAGAACTGTGAGAAGATTATACATCGCATGTTTTACTGAATGATGCCAATATTTAATAGTTTTTATATGCAAATCAATTATGAATACATAACGTGGTAACATTATTTCTAAAATTTTTTCAATAGTATCTTCTATCTGTGGACCTGATATAAAACAAAAGAAGTTTTTCATATACTATTACAAGTGTAAAATTTTATTTACCATTATAAATTGTAAGAAATTGAGGACATTCAACAAGAAATAATTTTTGAGATGATGTTAAATTTGTTGAATTTGGTCTCAAATCTTTAAATATTTGTATATAAGTAGATGATGTTAAACATTTAATTACTGGTTGAAGTAATGGAAGAAATAAATTTTGATGTAAATTTAATGGTAAACGTTCTTGTATGCCATTAAATATATTTAATAAACGTGCTATTTGTCGTATATAAAGTTTACTATCCTTAGCTTTCAATATATGCTCTATTTGATTTAAACAATTTGCTAATGAATTAATAAATGTTAATTCAGTTATCCAATGTAAAATTTTCGAGACATCATTTGTTTGTGAAACTATATGTTCAAGAAGTAGAATACAATTTCGAAGTGCATATGTTGCTAATTGATTTAATTCATGTCTTGTATATAATTCTTGTAGAAGAACTTGTATTGTATTTCGTAGAAGAACGAAAAAGTAATGTGAATAAAGTGGAATTAATGATGCTGGTAAAGCTGAATTTAATGCAAGAACTATTTCATTGAAACAGTGAAAATATATTGCAGAACGTGATACTGTAGATTTCAATTCACGAACAACATCATCTAACATCGCTGCTAATTCTTGTGTATCAATATTTTTTGCTTTACGTCGTAATGTTGAACAATGGGCATTGATAAGTAATGATTGAGTTGCGGAATAGATAGTATGATCTGATAGATTCATTCTTATTTTTTTTCTACAGAAACTTGAAATATTTAGAAAAAAGAATGAGTCTATTTATATACTAACTATGCCAATGATTATATACTTATTCTCATATATATATATATATATATATATTCAAATGATTAATAATTCAACCTTCAAATAAGATAACCTTCATTTATTAAAGATATAGAATCAAGCGTAACGAAGTCTATATGTTCACTTTATTTTATGTATACCGCTTTGTTTTATCTTACAAACATCACTAGCTAACGTCAGTCATTTATCATTACATAGATAATTTATCCGTGATTCTTGCTCGATGACAAGGATGTCTCACACACATTGAATAGTTATAGAAGAGTAAGAAAAAAGGTATATCTTCTATTGGTGTGTGATATATGTTCAGAGACATTATCAACAAAATAAATAAATACAAAAGGTAGTTTTATTCTGTTTCTTCTAATTGATGCATAGATAAAAATCTATATAGAAAGTCATAAGTCATTTATCATCAATGTCTATCTTTTATTTTCTCCTTGTTTGTCTCTTTTTACTCTTATATTGTACTATTTACAGTCCTCGTGTTTATTATGCAGATATACACATGTAAACAATAAATAGTCTTGTGATTTTGATGTCAATTTATTAAGTGTAATCAATAGATCATTTATGAAATATGTATAATGCATTTTTATTGTTAAGGCCGACAAAAAAAAAGAATAGAAGTATTACATAAAACAGGTACAGATAATACATTTATATGTATGCAGTCGTGTGAAAAATTATAGAATTACACTCATTGTTTGATTTCAATCGAATCCTTTTCTTAACTAATATCATTTTTTTTTCTTTCAAATCTATGTATTGGCGATGGATTTGAAAGAGAAAAGTGATATGAGTCAAGAAAAGAATTCAATAGAAGTCGAACGAAGAGACTTTTTCTATACTTTTATAGATGATGCTTTTCATTTTTTATCAGATCCGATATTTTCATAATTATTCTCACTCTTATTTACATATAATTCACTCCATAACTATATATATATACGCACAACCTCATATTGTTATCTTCTAATAAAACTCTCAGTTATAAACTATAACACAAACATTTCAAAATATATAATTATATGAAAACTAACTCCAGCATTCACATACACATCTCAATACACAACGCAATATTTTTTTGTCTTATTTATATTGAAATATGTTTCCAGCAAACTATTCTTTAGAGACAATCGTCTACAAGAATATCAAAAATTAGAAGAAATATTTAACTTGTAGTTGTATAGCCATATCATTGTTCTATTTTTCTAAATCAATGTATTTTGAATACATTTTACACTCTAATTATATTCAAACAGTGTTACCTAGATGATAAATCTACATAATTATTTATTCTAAATCATGTTTAAATTTTTTCTACATGAAAAAACAAACAAAACTATAATTATAATGATTAACATCCGATGTGAAGAATAACAGAATGAAATGATAAATCTGTTCGTACTGACTAACAATTAACAGATCTTTGATGTAGAAATGTGCCATATGCAGATATATGGTTGTTAGTTGACAATTTCCTTTTTTGAAATAGTCATTAAATATAAGTTTAGTAATCATAAAAGAAAACGAGTATGGTATTTGTTGATGTAGAATATAATACAATGCTACTTGGATGTGAAGTAATTATTTAAGTTTTTTTTTCTTTTTTTCAGAATAATATTTGTATTAGGAAAAAAAATAATAGTAGTTAATTATATATTGAAGAAAGTAACATGTAATAATGGTTTTTATTTGTCTGCCTAAACCACGTCAAAATAAGGTAAGAATGAATGATAAATTAAGTTTATGACATTTTATTTTTTCATAAATAAAAAAAAATGAGAGCAAACTCGCAGTCAATGAGACGGCCGAGTGCGATATACTTGAAAAAAAAAGAAATGTAAGAAATATATATTTTTTTCGATGTAAGTAAAGTGGTTACTATTTCTTAAAAGTATCGTTTAAAAGACTTATTTTTATGTATTTTCTGACTTACGAGATTCAATACAGGTTAGTAATAAATGATTTATTATTAGTATGAATCATATAGTTGTGACCAGTAATACTTTTCATCTGTGCTTTTTGTTGTTGTTTTACATTTATACAAAGTAATACTTATAGAAGAATAAACGTAGTACGTTTTTTTAATTTATTAAAATCATAAATTAAATGAAAATGTAATCTTCACATTTATTAAAACATGTATTACATTAAACAAAAACAAAGTGAATTTTTAATATTAGAATAATTAGATTTTTAGTAATTTATTTTTAACTCTATATTAAAACTAAAAAATTTAGCGAAAAGAACTGAGCATATCTACTACTAATGCATGCCGTTCATTTCACGATATTCACGTGCTTGTTGTTGAAGTAAATATAGCTGAGGTGAATAACGTTTAACTTGTTGAAATATGACGCTCGCACGGTCATTACTTTCAACAACTAAATCATAAGGTCGATTAGCACTGGATGCTGGCCGAAAGACAGCTCGTTCAATAACTCGTGAAGTATGAGGTACTCCATTCATTGGTGTACCACTGCTCAATGTACCAGTGGACATCATCGAAAGTTCTGATTGTGTATAATTAGATTTCATCGATAATACTGATGATTGATCTGTTATAGGCATAAATCCAGGATAGTAGCTATCATTTGAGAGTGCGGATGGTAGTACTCGCTTTGAATTAGGTGGAGAAGTTATTAAAGTATCTATTTCAGATAAAAATTGATTAAAAATAGCCATTGGTAAAGTTAGGTTAGGATAATGACCACGTAATTCGCTATTTAGTTGTCTATAAACACGATGAGGTTTTCTTTGACACATTCCATACAATCCTAGCAATGCTCGACCTGACATGGATTCACATAATGGCATCATTAGATGTAATTTAAAATCATATAAAAAATCAAGCACATCGTCATTTTTCCACGTCAGTATTGCTAATGACCGGTATGGCGAATCACTTGTATTACGTTTAGTATATTTTTCAGGTAAATATTTTTGATAATCTTTATTTCCGACTATACTTGATGCCATTGTAAGTGTTAAATCTGTTTGAGTTGATATTGATTCAGATTCTGAAAAGTACTTTTGTTCTTCTTGTTGACGTTGTTGTTGTTGTTCTGATTGTTTATTAAGTAGAACAGAGGTACGACCAGGGAGTTTTGGGGTTGAACTTAGACGTTCTGATTCTTTATTAGGTATAACAGAGTTACGACCAGAGAATCTTGGTGTTGAATTTGGACGTTCTGATTCCTTATAAGGTATAACAGTGGTACGATCAGAGAATCTTATGGTTGAACTTGGGCGTTCCGGTTCCTTATTAGG